CGCCAATATGAGCAATCTGTATTCATATTCAAAAAAAAATAAAGTGAAAGTTGGAGTCGAATCCTCCTTAATGGATTTATAATGAGTTTAGTCCGCCAAAAAAACTTATTTTTGGGTAAAACTATTTTTAATTTTATTAATAAGTAATTAAATCCACTTTTTTTTTTTAAACTCCAAAATGTTCTTCTAATGACTTAAAAAGTAATTTTCAACATTAAGTCAGTTTCTTAAATAGTCGTCATTGATTCACACTTAATGAAAGATTTTTTTTTCATAAATTTTAAAATTCAAATTTAAATTTGACATCACTACCATTTCTATGCATGTTACTATTTTTTTTTGTTGCATGTTACTATTTTTTGATGAGCATGTTACTATTTTTTAATGAATATATTACTATTAATATTGAATGTTAGTATTTTTCTGAAATATCAATATTCAATGTAATTTTTTTTTTTTACTATGTTATTACTATTATTTTTTTTCAAATATTAATATTGAATGTTACTATTTTTCATTTTTGAATGTTACTATTTTTTTGTGTTTAAGTGGTACAATATTTTGTGTTTTAATGTTACTATTTTTATTTTTTTTATATATATATGAGAGAATTTTAATGTTAGTCAAACTTCTAAAATTTAGGAGTTCTTTTTTTCTTTTTTTTTTTTTTGTTCACTTTTTTGGGTTTTTGCATAAACCAAGTTCTTTGCCTAGCTAGATAGCCAACCAATAAATTCAGGTTACGCTATATTAACCAAAAAGGATAAATCTATAATTCTCAAATGTTGTATCGTCAAATGTTGTATACTAAATGATGTGTTAAAATCATGTGGATTGAATATTTAGTGGAAGTTTGTAGATCCCATTAATTTTAACCACCTATACTAATTTGAGATACAAATTTAATAAATAATTTAATAAACATGGTATTGCTCGACTAACCATATGAACTAAAACAAAAAAAACAAAATGACAAGGTCTCACTTAAATTTAAATTTTAAATAAATAAAAGTGGGACTAAAAGAATAATTGTATTGTAGTAATAATATGCTTACAATAACACATCCTAATTCGTCCACCTGACTAAATTGTTTTCCCTGCAGGCACCATCAGAATTTCGAAGAAAAATTCAACAACCATGCACAAAGCTGAGCTCAGAATCAAGCAAGGCTTTAAAGGAATTAGCCTCAGCCATCAAAAACATGACACACCCATCTTCTTGTGATCTCCATCTTCAAAACTCCAAAGCAGCTGCTGAGGAATTGAAAATTGCATTAGAGGCTTCTCCACCAGTAAAAATGCCACAGTTGGAAATCTAGGTTCTTCTTTGTTAGAGGTGAGTGGGCCGCTGAAGAAGATCATGACTTTGTGCCTTCGAGGTGGGACATTGCTATAAGGACCAAGCTAGGAAAGAGTTTTACCTTTGTTTTTACGTTGACTATCATGTCCCTTGTATTCACTGCATGTTTGGTTCCCTTGCAACTCCACCCACATTATCTGCAGAGCAAGAGAGTAGGCTCCAGGTCGTGTGTGATCATCTTACCAGGAGTTTAAGGCCCTCATGTCCGCTGCGGATCATCCCAGAGCATCCCCTAGGCAAAAGAGGAAAGGTATTTGATCCTTCTAGTAAACTTTGATGATTGTAATATTGTAGGTTCTTCGTCTTATACCAGTTCCACAGGTCCCACTATTAATAGAGCGATGGTATAGGCTCTTTATGCTTGTAAGGTGTCGTCTTCTCTTCTCCCCAAGAGGGCGAAGGCCAATACCCCTAGTGCCTCCCAGTGGTTCGACAACCATGCTATATCCTAGGAGGCTGGATCAGAGGGTGCCCCCATTTTTTCTCAGCGTACAGCTCCTTCGAGTGCTAACTTAGTCTTGCCACTGCTTTGGGAGCTAAGACTCCTGCATGGCCCTCTATCTGGACTGGAGCTCCTCATTTTTGTTTTGCTTCTGGCAGTGGCTCGGCGTCCATGCTACAGGACATGAATCTGGCCAAAGAACGGCTTTAGAGGTTTGTGACGGCTGCAGATATCAGAGAGATCAGCTATTGGGGTCCAGAAGGCATTATCAATACCTAGATTGAGGGGTTTGATATGGTATACCTTCCTCCTTTTTAGCTTTGATTTCTTCGCCTTGCCTTTTCTTTCATATCCTATCTTCTAAATGCTTGTAGGAGGCTATTGCTTGTCCTACCTACTTTTCGAGGACTGTTAAGTTTGGAGAGA